CGCTGGGCGGCCGCTGGCTCTGCGCGGTGGGCGGCTGGGATGGGTCGCGCCGCCTGGCCACGGTGGCCGCCCTGGACACAGAGCGTGGAGAGTGGGAGGCGTGGGCCGCGGCCCCCGGCAGCTGCCCCCCTGCCGGCCTCAGCAGTCACACCTGCACCCGCCTCTCGGACCGAGAGGTGCGGGTGGCGGGCCGGGAGGGCGGGACCCGCACTCAGCGTCGCTTCGGAAGCATCTACACGTTAAGGCTGGATCCTGGCGCCCGCACCTACTGGTATGGCACCCCCGCCCCAAACCTTCCACCTTCCCTTCACCTACACTCCAGAAAGGCCAGGGCTCAACAGTTTCGCAGGCATTTTATCCACATCCTCAACCCGGCAACCTCCTTCCCGGCATGCACCGTGTCCCAGGTAGCTGAACCCCGTGTGCCCCTCCCTGTCCTCTGACCCACGCCACTGTCCCAGGCATCCTTTTCAGTCCTTGGCCGAGGGGGTGGGGAAAGGGAAACAGCACTTACATTTCCCAGAAAACGCCTCTCAGGCCTGACTTGGTGCGCGTCCCCAGCTACAAGGAAGAAGGCGACCACACAGCCTCCCGCTCGGGGCACTGCGCTGCCCTGCTGCGGGGCCCCGGGCCGCGCCCAGCTCACCAGCTGTTGCTGTTTGGTGGCTGCAGCTCAGCTGAACCAGAAGTAGCTGGGCACTGGAGTCCCGGGACGATTAAGGTATCGCCCACTCACACCTTGCCTAGGGTGCAAGGGGGCTAAAAGTGTGATGCCCGAATCCCTCCAGACAGTCCCTCCTTCCTCCCCCAAGGACGAGCCAACCGTTGCCCCCCGTCTGATGGAACAGCTTGCAAAGCTTGTGAGCAGTGGGCGGGGGTCCCAGCAGGGGCCTCGGGGGCTGCGGCATCACTCGTGCTCTGTGGTGGGGCCCTTTGCAGTGATGTTCGGTGGAGAGGCTCTGACCAGACCGAGAGACGCCGTCTGCAATGACCTCTACATCTACGACGCCCGTGAGAGCCGCCCAGGGGCTGAGGGGGGAGTGAGACGGGGGAACCTGAAGACGCGGAAAGAGGCGGGGCAGAGTGCTGGGGGAGGGAGTACGCACAACGTGAAGTCTGCAGGCCCAGCAGTCCAGGGAGAGAGAACGCGGCAAGCCTTTGGTGGTGGTAAGAGCGCCGTGGCCGCCAGTAACCACCCACCTCACCTGACAGGCAAGTCTCCTTCTCTGTGGTTCCACTTCCCCTGTGCGGACCGCGGACTGAAACGCATGGGCCACCGGACCTGCCTTTGGAATGACCAGCTTTACCTGGTTGGGGGTTTCGGTGAGGATGGCAGGACGGCTAGTCCACAGGTTTGCGTCCTGGATCTCTTTGTCTAAGGAACAGTGCCAAGACACACTGCCAAGCCTCTGTTTTGTTGTAAACTCATAAAGCATCATCACCAGAGCAACCTGCCTCATGTCAAATGCTTATTAAATTTCAATCTGAGAGTCAACGTTTGCTTCTGAATCTTTGTGGGTGAGGGCGTTAAAAAAGTAAACACATCTTTATTTGCAAGGGAAAGGATAAAATCTGGGACCTCCTGATACTGCGAGTCAACCTGATGGAACCAAAAGCCACAGATCATATGCTTTTCCCCGCCCCATGCAAACTCCATCCTCAACTGTGGGACAAAGCTTCAGGCTAGAGCTGAGCATTCTGACCAAAACATTTAATTAACAAAAAAATATTACAACGGCAGAGAAAATAATTACAACGATAAAGAAAAATGAGAAGAACTGGGAGTCAGGGTAGAGAAGAATGCAAAGGCCTCGGTCCCTAGGAGACCAACACTCCGGCTGAGCTGGCCTTAGCCCCAGCCCCTTCTGAGTTTTCCTTGGCTGGCTTCTCGTCTTCCCCCATGAGACGAATGTTGTGCTTTTCCCGAAATTCATTTAGTTCTTTTCCCTTTGCCTGAAGCTGCTGTGTCAATGTCTCAATGATCTTCTGGATCTAGAGGGCAAGCGGTAGATATTACATAGGCCTTCGGGTATCCCTTCCCCCACCTGGTCCGGAATGCTTGAGGGAAGTGAAAAAGATGACACCTCTAACCTCACCTCTAAGCAGGTAATAAGAGCGGGCACTAAAACCATTCTTTTCTCAAACACGATGGTTCATAAACTTCAGTGTACATAAGAATCACCTGGCCTGCTCATTTACAAAATGGGCCCACTGAATGGGCCCCACGTCCGAAGGTTTTGCATCAGGAGAGGGTCTAGGAAGCTGCATTTTAAGTTAGTGAGAAACACTGCCCTCACCACCCGCCTCCCGCACATCGGCCGGGTCACGGAGCCAGCAGCATCTCTAAGGAGCCGGACTCAGTGCAGGGGCATAAAGCACACAGGCTGGCGGGCTGTTTGCGGTTCCACGTGAGCTCCCGCTCACACTCACTCCCTGGCCCCGCTCCTCACCCCCCTGTCACCTAGAGCTCCCACTCCAGGATCTCACCCACCTGCTCCTTGTTATTCTCCAGGGCGGGCAGCACCTCCTTGACCGTCCGCTCCACCAGCACCCCTCCAACCATGCGGTAGCACCTGCGGGTCTCATCCACCTCCTTCAGTGTGTCGATCACCAGGCTGGGGGAGGAGGACAAGGCAGGATCTGAGAACTGAGGCGCACTCCGCTGCAGGCCCCCAACGCACACACACATGGCCATTCGGCTTCGTTTCCCCGCGTCTCCTGGCTCCCTCACCTGTGCTCATTCAGCTCCATCTCCAGCTCCGCTGCCTTGGATGCTAGGCCTCGCTGCTCCTGCCGAAGGCGGTTGAAGCCAGCAATTACCTAAGAAGGTGAGAAAGAGATAAGGAGTGACAGAGGAGACGACGGAAATGGCAGAGGGTCAAGACACAACACAGGATGGCAGGCTTCACAAAGATGCAGCAGACAGCTACGCAGTACGACGGAAATGGCAGAGTGTCAAGACACAACACAGGATGGCAGGCTTCACAAAGATGCAGCAGACAGCTACGCAGGACACAAGTTTGCCACATCTAACTTCAGTCTGCCTGCAATTCCATTCACCAGACACCGGATGAGTGGCTGCTGAGGGTGAGATACTGCTGGTCCACCTTGCCGCTGACAGCTGCTGAGGAGAGGCAGCTGTGATACCAGGTGGGGTGCAGAGCTTCTGAAGCACCCGCACAGGAGCTTAGCCTCACAGGTGATGTGGGCTGACAGGGAAGGCTCTGAACTTAGCTACTCCTGTGTGGGGCTGCCCAGCATCCCTCCCACTCGGGAGCTGCCCTCCTTGACACAGGGGGTCCTCGGGCTACTGATCACAGGGGCAGCAACCTACCCTATACAGGAGTCTCTCCACAGGAACTGAATTTTGGGTGGAAGTCAGCTGGAGCTAAGACACCTGGCTGTCCTAAAGATAACCCTATTCCTGAGATCCTCACAGCTGCCCTTGTTCTTGACCTTTGTGTGAACTAGTTATTTAATCTTTCTTTTCACTGTGTGCATGATCCAAAGACCGTTTCTCAATCTTTAGTCTGCTTCTTGAAACTCTCTTCCTTTAAGTAGCAACATGGTATGGTGGGAGGACCCTGAACTTTTGCGTCTGACCCGAGTTCAAAGTCTAGTTTTGCCATTTCCTTGCTATATGACTGAGTTACTTGACCTCTCTTGGGTTCCTCATTTATAAAATGGAGCTTATAATATACCATAGGCAGAGTTTCTCAGCACCAGTACCACTGATATTCTGGGCTGGATAATTCCTTGTTCTGGGGAGCTGTCCTGTGCAGCACCGTCGAATGTTTAGTTGCATCCCTGGCTTCTACCCACTAAAAGCCAGTAGCAACTCTCACTTGTGAAAACCAAAATTGTCTCCAGACACTGCCAAATGTCTCGTAGGGGGCAAAACCACCGCAGGTTGACAGCCACTGCCCCAGGGTAATAATGAGAACTAAACAGAGACGACACAGCAAGTGTCTGACACAACTCGGCTCCCTCAGTGTCCAGGACCCTCCTGTGCTCTGGCTCTCCTAACCCTCCAGCACTCCTTCCTCTGTTCTGGAAGTTCTTCCGCTCACCCCAAATGGAGACGAGATGGAAGATTCTATTCACAGCACTCCTCCCTTTATCGCCTATAGATTTCAACCGGTACCCTTGATTTCAACAATCTCCCTCTCTTCTTTATTCTAACTGACAACAAAGCCAGGCCTTCTCAGAAATTCTAGACCCACATTTCCAAGTCAGTGGAAGGAGCTTTGGAGTAAGACAAAATGACTTAAAAGTCTGACCACAAGCAAGTTATTTCTTTTTTGAATTTTAAGGTTTTTTACTAATAAAATAGAGATAGTATCTGCCCCATAGGATGCGGTGAGGATTGCGTGATTACATCAAAGATTTATGGCAATATCCAGCATATAACAGACTGTCAACAAACAGTAGCTGCTATTAGCACAGAATATCTCCACCTAAATGTCCTCTGGATACCTTAAAGTCAGGTCATTCAAAGCCGAGCTGATCATCTTTTACCAGTTTTAAACTATTCCTCCTGTCTCCCCTATTGCTGCTAATGACACCACTCTCACCTTCCAGGTAGGACACCTGGCTCCAACTGAGAGCACTGAATCCTAACCACTAGACCACCTGGACAGTTCTATCTTTGAACACACCCTTATTCCATCAAATGCCAAATTTACTGCACCTACCTCGGCAACTTCTCTGAGGCTCACTGACATCACTCCAGTTCAAGCCTTCATTACCTCTTGTCTGAACTAGCACAATAGTCTTTTGCATTATCTCCCTATTTATGGACTCACCATATCCATCCTATACATTGGTGCTAATTTAACTTTCCTAACACTCGGATGAAAGGAAAATGTTTATGATATCGTATTAGGCTTAAAGACCAGATTACAAAACGGTATATATCGTTTATTCCTTTTTTTTTTTACGCCCACAAAACGGTATATATCGTTTATTCCTTTTTTTTTTGTACGCCCACAGCATCCGGTCTTCCTAGGTGGTCTCCCATCCAAGTATTAAACAGGCCCGATCCTGCTTAGCTTCCGAGATCAGACGAGATCAGGCACGTTCAGGGTGGCATGGCTGTAGGTGGTACATATTGGTTAATTATTGTTTTTATTAATATTGTTTTAGTGAATATGGTGTTTATAAAACACGTACATATGTACAATATACAGGTTAATCTCTCAAAGAATATACTCCAAAACAGTAAGAACTGTTCTCTCTCAGTAGCAGGATCATGTAATTTATTTCTGATTTTGTCCTTCTTCCTGTGTTTTCTACATTTTCCACAATGAACGTGTATTATTTCATGTAGTAGGGGGAAAATCAATAGTATAACACACATCTTTCTGTGACTCCCTCACTGCTACATTAAACAGTCCCAAATTCTTTGGCATGCAAAGATGCAACTTTAAGGACCACATCTTTCTAACCTATACATCATGATTTAAACTAACCAGTCACTACGCTTCATGTCAATCTATGCTTTCCTTAGCTCTCCCCTTCTTAGCCTATTTCCATTGTTCAAATTTATCCAATCCTTCAGACAGTTCCAACATCTCCATTATGATCGTGGTATAAGTGGGAAAAAAAAAAAAAAAAACAGATCTGTCTGATTCTCAAGTCCTTCAATTAAAAGCCCTGCTCTTTCAGTTACTGACTTTGGGTAAGTTAACTAAAGCCTCTGAAACTCAACTGTCCTTACCTTTGTTATAAAGATACAACCTATTTCAAATAGCAGTAATTAAGTAACAGGATAAACCAAGTAAAGTGCATAGCACAATGTGTTACTCGTTTACCAGGGGTATATGAGGCTCAGGTTTGCAGCAATGATAAATCCTAACAAGAACAGTCTCAGAACTCAATGATCACAACTCCTCAGTCTCTTCTGAGGGCTTCTCTTTCTCCACCACCCTTAAATATTGGTTCCTATTCTGCTTTTTTCGCTTTCTGAACAAACCTTAAATGATTTCATCAAGAACCACGGCTTTGTCAACCAGCCATAAGCTCTTAATTCTCTAATCTACAGCTCCAACTCATTTATTTCTGTAACTCCGGATTTATAAATCTAACTGCCCACTAAATGTCTCTACCCCGATATCCCACAAGAAACCCAAACTCAAAATCCTAAAATAAACTTATTCCCTCCCCCGAAACTTGTCCATCTTTCTGTATTCCCTATGGCATCAGCATCCATCAAAGACAGAAACCTGAGAAATATCTCAGATTAATTTATCCACTTTTCTCTACATTCAAGTTTTACAGTCCATTTCAAACTTTAAGTCCACGTGCATCCCAAACATGTTAGGCAGTTTTCTGCCTGAGTGCTTTTAAACGTATTGTTCCCTCTACCCAAAAAATCCTCCACTTCCTTCTTTTTTTGACTAACTTATCTCATCCTTTAGAACTGAGCTGAAAGATTATCTCTTCTAGAAAACAAAATAACTAGCATTTGTTAAGCACCTACTATATTCCAGTCACTGTGCAAAACACTTTGCATGCATCGTCTTGCCTAATAATCAAAATACAGTGATGAGGTAGGTACCACTATGTTTTTACAGGAGGCAAAGGCAGAGAGAAATAACTCACGGGAGGTCATCATCTATAAATAGTAAATAGAAATGTGATTCAAACACACTCTGCCCGACCCCAGTGCGCTCTATAGTCTTAACCACCCTACTATACCACAGCTGGCCTTTCCCACCTCCCGCCACGCCCCCAATCCCATAACCTCCTGATTAGTAGGGGTCTCTCCCCTAGCTGCCATAAAGAAGGGCCTCTGTGGAACACTGTAAATCTTATTGTTTGGTTGGTCTTTTCTCAAACGAGTCTGTGAGCTAACTTGAAAACAAAGTCTATTTATTCATGTTTCCCTGTACCCAGCAGAGTATCTGGCACGTGGTAGACCCTCAAAAAGTGTGAGGTTCCTTCTCCCTTCCTTTTCCCGAGTCTGAAATTATCGCTTCCTCCTCCTCAAAACCCCATAGCATGTTATGCCTCTCTTACGACACTTATCTTCTGCCTCATTTTAGCATTTTCTAAATCTTTGATGGCAAGGGACAGTTTTAAAAATCTTTAAAACCTTCATGCAGATACCTTTGCCCGAGTAATCGTTCAACGAATAACTGATCAATGAATCTGTAATTAAAAGAGCTACTGCGTACGTTTTCCTTCCTCTCGTGTAGATGTCCTCCCCCTTCTATTAAACACTAGCCCCGCTATCGGCAAACCATGCTTCCCAAGCTACAAAGGGCTTTCTGATTAATTTGCGAAACGCTGCCCGATGCTAGGCACTGGGGGAAATGCAAACCTGGATTAGAAAAGGGTTTTTGGTCTCTAAAGAAATTGAACCTAATACTGACTTCCGAATCAAAACAGTATAAAACACCAGACTGTTCGAGTATGTATGTCACGCGGCGCTGCAGAGTGACTTGTGACTGTCAACTCGGCTTCAGGGTCAGGTAATAGACGACACAACCAGCCCGTTGACTAATGCCCTGGGATTCGTTACGAGCTGCCCGGCCCAGCCATACCTTGTTCGAGGGGGCGGAAAAGTGGGGGAAGCGACGACCCACCTCCCGTGAGGCCTGTGCACCGTCCCAGGCCCTGCCTCCGCGGTCTTCCCTTCCCGGAGGCTCACCCAGCACCCCAAGGGTGCGTGGCTCTCCCCGGCCCGGGCGCCAGAGCTCTCCAAGGACCCTCCCCTCTCTGGGGGGCCACGCGAGTGCGGGCCTGGGGCAAGGACCTGCACCAGCCGCGGGCGCCCCTCGCCTCGCCTCTTCTCCGGACCCGGCCGGGGCGCCCTCCTCCGCGGTCTCCGCGCCTCACCTGCTCGGCCGACACCGCCCCCTTCCCCGCCCCGCTGCCCCTGCTCTGG